GCTATGAGTCAGGTCTGACTTGATGGCACATAACAACAATAACAATGGTTTCACGGCTCCAGATTCCTGGTGACCCCATGCACCACAGGAACAGACCATTGTGATCCCTAGAGTTTTTTTATTTTTATTTTATTTTTTTTATTGTGTTTTAGGTGAAAGTTTACATAGCAAATAAGTTTCCCATTTGATAGTTAGTACATAAAGTCTTCCATGACATTGGCTGCATTCTCAACAATATGTCAGCACTCTTCTCACTTCTGCCCTGGGTTCTTTGTTTCCTTTTGTTTGGATTTTCTACCCTTCCTCTTTCTCATTTTTGCTTCTGGGCAAATGTTCATTTGCTTTTGTATAATTGGGCTTCCTAAGGAACACATTCTTCATGGGTGTTGTTGTTTATTTTATGGGCCTGCCTATTGATTAGTTGAAAGGTGGTCTCCAAGAATGTCTTCAGTTCCAGGTCAGAAGTGTGTCTTAGGGCCATTGTCCAGGGGTTCCTCCAGTCTCTGTCAGACCAGGAAGTCTAGTCTTTTCTGTGAATTGGAGGTTTTTTCCTACATTTTTCTCCTGCTCTTTCTAGGAACCTCTGTTATAATTCCACTCAGAGTGGTTGGTAGTAGTACCTGGACACCATCTAGCTCTTCTGTTCTCAGAGTGTAGGCTATGGTTCACGTAAACCATTAGTCCTTTGGTCTAATTGCTCCCTTGAATTAGGGCAGTTTTAAAGAAAAAAAATCCAGTTGAGTTATTTTACTTAATTCATGAAGATTGAGTTTCAATATAGAGCAAGTTGAGTTAACAATTCCTTATCTTGTAATGAACTCATAACATTTTAATTAAACCAACATGATTGCCCTCAACCACAGAAATGCAAACATTCAGATTCACAAATTTCCTGATTATTCTTTCCTGTCAAAGATATTAGCTGATTCTTGGCTAGAAGAATATATTTAAATTTGCTCAGTTGTTATTTTTTGGAAATATTCTATGGTTATAAAGTACAGTGAGAATATGAGATAACACTTAGTATAGAAAAAATGAAGAAAACTGATGCTATCAGAGTCTCAAAAGTAATTGCAGTATTCTTGTGGAATAAAAATAAATACCACTTAACTCAGTTGAGTCTCACTCTTGCTCAGAACCAGTAGGCTGACTTGGATGAAATTTTCTAAGGGTCTGTGGTGATCTGGTTGATTGGCTAACCCAGAAAACGTGCCCAACTTCCTTCTTCCTGCTACGTCTCATGATACCAAAAAACCTATTGCTGTTGAGTTGATTCTTATCGTAATGACCCTATGTTGTTGTTGTTGTTGTTATGTCCATCGAGTTGGACCCGACTCATAGTGACTCCTCCTTGGGTTTCCAAGGCAGTATCACTACAGAAGTAGACTGTCCCATCAGAGCAAAACTGCTCAATAAGGTTTCCAAGGCTATGATCAGACTGCCACATCTTTCTCCTATGGAGTGGCTGGGAGGTTTGAACTACTGACCTGTGGTTAGTAGCTGAACACTTAACCACTGTACCACCAGGGCTTCCTTATGTCATGAGATAGAGGCTGAAAAGTAACATATTTTCCCAGTTGTGATTGGCCATATGCTCCAGTACTCAACAATGCCATGTAATGTGGAGTCTATGGGGTATTTTTGAAGACTTTTTCTCTTCTTTATACTTTTTACTTCAATGGGGAGGGATGCCCAAGATGACAACAATCATTTGCAATCAGAGGCAACAAACTAGAGTTAAGAAGCCAATATGGTAATAATATGGCTGAGCAGACAGATGATATAAGCCAAGGTTTGGATAACATTATTGAAATACTAGATCTCTTTCATGTTTGCTTCCTCCAGCCTTTTAATTATGTAAGATGATTAAATGACCTTATTACTTTTGTCATAGTTAGGCAGTTTTTTCTGTTTTGTTACTTGCAGTCAGTAGTAATTTATTGGTATAGTTCCCCACCAGTTTTCAACAGACAAATTACGTTTATCTAAAGACAAAGTCATCCCTCCTTTCAAAAAACACAGTCCAAATTTACTCCCATTAGAGTAATCCAAAAGGATCCTTGGTGGCACAATGGTTAAGCATTCAACTGCTAACTGAAAGGTTGATGGTTTGAACCCACCAGTGGCTCCTTGGGAGAAAACACCTGGCAATCTGCTCCCATACAGATTACAGCCTGGGAAACCTATGGGGGATGTTTTACTCTGTCACATGCAGTTGCTTTGAGTTGGAATTGATTTGACAGTGCAAAGTGGCAGCAATCTAAAGAAACACTGTTCAACAGAACTTTCTGTAACTGTGGAAATGTTCACATAGAATATGTATCCACTGAGCACTTGAAATGTGGCTAGTATGACTGAGGAACTGAGTTTTTAATTGTATTTAATTTAATTCAATTTCAATTTCTATAGCCAAATGTGGGAGCTCTGGTAGCATAGTGGCTAAGACACTTGCCTGCTAACCAGAAGGCTGGCGGTTCAAACCCACCAGCCACTCCTCGGAAGGAAGGTTGGGCAATCCTACTTCCGTAGTGATACTGCCTCGGAAACCCAAGGAGGGGTCGCTATGAGTCGGGGCCGACTCGACGGCACATAACAACAACAACAACAACATAGCCAAATGGTGGGAGCTCTGGTAGCATAGTGGCTAAGACACTTGCCTGCTAACCAGAAGGCTGGCGGTTCAAACCCACCAGCCACTCCTCGGAAGGAAGGTTGGGCAATCTACTTCTGTAGTGATACTGCCTCGGAATCCCAAGGAGGGGTCGCTATAAGTTGGGTCTGACTCGATGGCACATAACAACAATAACAAGAGAGCAAAATGTGGCTAATAACTACGATACTGGAAAGTAGAGACCTAAGCCAGTCTATCTATAAACTCTCTGATTTCTGTATATTCTTGAAAAATATTCAGCCTCTAGTTTTATGTTATTTTACAGGCCCAAGAACATGTCAATATGGAAAAATGATGACTCAGCAGAGTTTACATCATGTCATATCTGAAGCCTGTTAAGTAATATTTAACTTGCATATGAGCTAACTACACAGAACTGATACCAATTTAAACATTTTACATTGACAACTTTAATAAAGGATGCCTCTTTGGAATAATAATGTTATGCAGACTAAACTTATTTCCCTGCTTGGTAAGACTTTTGTATTCCCAATTACAAATGTAAAGAATAATAATGATGTGTCAGTCTCATTAAACTGTGGGGTACAACAATTCTCTGAGATAAACAGTAAATGATAGTTTTCAGACTACTGGGTACACCAGAAAATCGGCAGCAAGTGCACCAACATGGTGCTAAGAGCAGTGGGATGGTGAACAGTGGCAGCTAAAGATACTCTAGTGAAAAGATGGGATCAGTGGACACCAATTATGCCAGAAACCAGAAATCTGTGAGGGTTATCATGTCCTGGAACACAATGTTCAATACTATCTACCATACCCAAATGTGATCTGGAGAAATGATTCCACCATACCTTGGCATCTTGTGTAGAGTTAAATTATTATAATGTGCACATTCACAGCTATTTTTACAGCCTGGGGAACAACTAATTCTGCAAATGTCCAAGGTGGCCGAGAGCTGTTAAAGTTATCAGCTCTTCTATCTCCTGACAAGGATCATAGTCTCAGACAGCTCTTCTATCACTGGTTACCTCCCAATTGTTAAGAACGTAAAGGCAGCCTCTTTGCATTGGGAAATCAAATTCCTTCAGTCTGGGGTTATGTACAATTTTAAGATATAGCTGACAAGCCAAACTTATTTCAGAGACAGAACTACTAATCTATAATCAGGGTTCTAACAGAAATGATGAGAAATGTGAACTGAAGACTATGGCAAGTTATGTTTACTTAATCTATTTGGTTCAATGCTTAACACATAATCACTTGAAAAAATTAATTTAGGGGAGTTATAACCTCATGTTTCTAACCAATAAGTTTTATAACAGATATGTCTATAGATAATTACTGAAATTAGATTGATTCAAAGTTGATATCCTTCTTAGAGATAAATTATTTATATTCAAATATCACTTTTATTTGATAATGATGTTTTCACTTCTCATCAATTTTCATTTCATTCTTTTGCATTTGGTGTTACCTGAAAAACACTTTTGTTTTCTATAGGCTGCTTTGACTCACTTATTTTATGGAAGCTTTCACTGACAATGAAGATATAAGTAATAACCATGTATGAACAATTAAGACTCAGTCTCCTATAAGGGGAGGCATATGATGACCTGGTTTTTAGGAACATACCGTATCTGCAAGAAAGTGGCATGTACAAAATGTTTCACAGTTAAAGATGTATCATGACAAGCATTTTTACCTATGATGTGACTCTGAAATGTGGAATCTGCAATTGTATCTTCTTCATCCTCTTGCAGGTTTTCATCTGCTTCTTTTACCTGCAGCAACAAAAAAACCACTCAAAGTTCTCATTTATTATATTAAATAGACCTTTTCAATCTTGAATAATGGTGCATTCTATAACAAATATGTGTGTGTTTGTGTGTGTTTTCATTCTACTTCCCCTGTCTATCACTTGGCTTTATTACAAGTTTTAATTAGAACGGCCTATTTTCAGAAACATAATGCCAGCTCTGAAAGTGAGGATTTACAGGGTACCTTAATTCTACCCAAGATTTTGGAGATAACAGCTTTGGTTTTTAACACCTAATAAAGTCAGTAGCACATGGCTGTTAGAAAAAATTAAAGTTAAGGAAGTATAATTCCTCCAGAGTCAATGACTTCTTCCACAACTTATTTTAATAAGAATAAAGAAATATATTTAGGTCTCTTGACCCTTTTCCTGGAATATAGCTCTAATAAAATGATTCTTTTTGTTCTTTCCAGAATAAAACATGTGGTAATAGTGACATGTTCTCACTGAACTAGAGCACTTAACTATCTAGATTTTTCAAGTCAAAGCATTCCTTTATATTTCAGCTCAAATATCCTAGTGTTTGATCATATAGCATCAAATGCCACTCTAGAGAAAATCTAATCACATCTCGAGGTATTTTACAGATGACAATTCTGATGTCTAGCAAGTTTTCTTAAGGTGAACACACATAGAGGAAGTGGTGCAGCTGGCACTAAAACCTAGGTCTCTTATTTCTGAATCCAGCAGCAGTAGTAGTAGTAACAACATCAACACCAGTAATAATAAAAACAGCCAATGCTTAAATATAGGGGCAGGCACTATTGTAGTTTATTACTCGAATGATCTTATCATCCTCACAATAACCCTATGAGGTAGGTGCCATTGTCATCTCCATTTTAGAGATGAATGCCCTGAGGAAACAGAGCAAGTGGTAAAGCCAGGATCAAAATACAGGATACCTGTCTCCAGAAATGTATTAATTAGGGGGAACTCTGTTATTCTCAAACATCCATTCTATTATGCCTTTGAAGACTTGGCTTCAATATCAAGACAGCTGTGGTCATTGTCAGAATGCCCTTGAATAGCTATTTTAAAATATATTCCAGCCAGTCCTGTGGGCAGCTGATGATAATAATGTGCACTGTGTAATCCCGGGGGGGGGGGGTTCTGTGTAGGCACAAACAATCAGAAGGCGTCAGTGGATTTGCTCATGTGCTTGGGTTGAATGCTAAGAAAGCATTATTTTATATTATTTTATACTTGCAATGTAGAAAGCCATACAGTTGCATACTGACCTTGAGCTAGATTTAGCTTTCTACTCTTTACCTCTTATTTTTCATATTTAATGCAATATGACCATCTGTTTACATTTTATGACTTAGGTTCCAGTAATGGAGTATAACTGGTGCTTAATCTGTACCATGTCAATAACTAGAAGATGGAAAACTCAAGAGGGCATGGAACTGGCTACCTCAACCCTCACAAGAGAGATTGTTAAGGATTGATTATCTGGAGGCTAGGTTTCATCATTTTCTTTCCTTATTAGCTGTCTCTGTGTGGGCTTTTCCCTGTTTAATAGGACCTCCACAGGATGAAAGCTAAGCAATGGGGGTAGAAGTCATCATCAACTAACTCTGATTCTAGCAGTACACACTTATGGATGGTGGAGAGAGAAGCACTGTGAGCATGAGCAAGGCTATAGTGCTACTTCTGATTGACTGATTGATTGTGATTTGGCTGAAAATTTACAGAGCAAATTCACTTTCCATACAGCAGTTCACACACACTTTCTCTCATGACACTGACTACAATTTACTCTCCTCCCACTACCCCCTGACAGTTACCTCTTCCCTGTGTCCATCCCTCCATGCACTCCTGCCCCCTGAGCTGTCTCACTGTGCATAAACAGCCCTTCTTTCTCCCATGATTGTTCTCTCCAAGGAGTATCTACCTCAGGTAAATGCTCAACTCATATGCCTGTCTTTTGTTTGGCTGGAAGCCACAAGTGTGGGTTCAATTCCAGACCTGAAGGGCAGCTAGGGACCATAGTCTCAGTGGTTCTACCAGGTTCTATCAGACCAGCAAACCTAGTCCCCCCTTTTTACAGTGCTACTTTTTTGCCTTCAGGGTTCAACTAGCTAAGTGACCTGTTTAAGATAAGGCAACTAAAAGACACTGAGGAAGAGATAGGAAAATATCCTCTAAACACCTTAATTTCCATTAATAATCCATTGGGAACTATCTATCCTCATTTATAGAAACATCAAAGAAATCTATAAATAAATTCAGCTTATGCCAGATCTTAAGGCAATATGGTCTATGTTTTTTTTTTTTTTTCCCCCACCTGTTATGCAAAATAACATTTCCTTTGGGTTGTTCTAAATTTACCCATTTTAAACTTGAAGAGGTGCCCTGCTAAGCTGCTGGGATATGTGTGAATCATCATCACCATTGGCCTGTGAAATTCTAAACTGAAGAATCAAATAATTAGAAGAATCTTCTCATCTTACAGATAATGAAAGAGAGGCTCAGATGGGGTAGTGATCTGCTCAAGGTCACATAGGATCTCAGTTTTAGAGTGGGGACTCCTGACTCTTACTCCTTCCTATAATTTCATTTGTTAGAGTGTCCCATATTACTACAGCTATCTTTTCCAGACCTTCCCCAGAACTGCTAGATCCTTCTTAGTGTCTGGCAAGCATATATGTTGGCAATTTTCCAAGCATACATAAATTCTATTTTTATTTAAGAAGAGCAAAAGTTTTCAGGGTTTTTATTTTCATTTTTTAGTAATAATCCTTTCTTCTGTACTTGCTCTCTAACTCTTCTATGAAACTTCACCATCATCTTTCTCCTAGTATCATATTTAAGAAAAAAAAAAAAATTGTACAGTCTTGCCCATCAGCTCCTTATCTGATACTTTCAAGGGTACTTAACATCAAATACTAAATATGGCTTCTGATCAGAGGAATAGTGTTTGCAGACAAAGCCCCTAGCTCTTCCAACTCTCCTGGGCTACCAGAGGTAGATGATCTAAGAGGGGGAGATTTTGATCTTGAAAGGAATGGATGAAGAGGACACAAAGGAATGGAAAATGAGGAGTGTCTTAGAATGACATAACTGCTAGCTCTAATTATGCATATAAACAGATTTCAATGCAAAGTAGTGAGTAATTAAAAACAATTCATTTGCCTACGGAAATGAGGGGCATAATTTATTTTGGCAGCAGATTCCCCTTGCAAATTATATTTTTCATAGGAAAAATGAAAATTAATTTCCGTTCTTGATCACACAGTGGCTGGGTGTTTGTGGGAGGTTGTAGGAACCTTCTTGGGTGGTAAGGAGCTGCCAGCTAAGATTAACAATTTGCCAAAGATAGAAGACAGATGTGGGGCAATTTACGCATGGTGAAACACTGCAAAGAAATGAGAGTGGTCACAAAATGAAGGAAAAGTCTGGTCAGTGTTTGGCTCAGAAAAGTATGGTGGTCAAAAATTTACAGTTTTCTCAACCATTGCTCTACCAGGAATAGGTACATATCTATATCAGTCATGTCATATTTAGTAAGAAGTAGCAGGTCCTGACTAACAAGCAATCACTATGGGCTGGTTTTTGTTTGTTTGTATGTTCACATTTGTTAGTACTTTGGGTGTCCTGTAATGGTGCCTCTTTAAGTAATGTCTATGTTTTAGAGCTCTGTAGTTTCAGTCAAAAACTACATCAAAGCAGTCTATAACAGGTAACCATCAAATGTCACTGCACTCAGAGTATTCTAGTAACCCCTATTTTGACACTCTTCATTCACAATTCTGTACCTTTTTCTTCTTTGAATAATCCTACAAATAAGAGCTCCCCATGAGAGCACCATTTTAATGTCAAAGCTCATTTAAAAGGAAAAGAATGAAATGAACCTAAGATTTTCCCTTGGATGGGGGAAAAAAAAGTCATTTAGAAATCTTTGCAACAAGATGACAAAATATGTACAGTCCTTATTAGCATCAAAACAGCATTTAGAGCTAAAAAATTCAAACCAAACCTATGGCCATCTAGTCGATTCTGACCCACAGTGACCCTTTAGGGCAGAGTAGAACTGTCTTATAAGGTTTCCAAGACTGTTTAATCTTTACAGAAGAGGACTGCCTCATCTTTCTCCCTCAGAACCACTGGTGGGTTCAAATTGCTCAGCTTTCGGTTAGCAGCTGAATGCTTTAACCACTCTCCACCAGAGCATTTAGAACAGTACCATTCAATTAAGGGAGTTGAAATTATAACATTTTGCAGAACTTAATAAGATGATAACAATTTATGTAATTATTGTACTATTTTATGCTATTTCATCACCACAGAACCATTTTAATGAGATAGTTTTTGATGCTTTTTAATTCACAAATGTGATTTTTTTTTTCAGACTATGTAACACTGGGTGAAGAGTGTATCCATAATTTAAATTAAAATGTCCGTATTAAAATGGCCATCTCTTTCCAGTGCATAATAAAGGTATATGGTCTCATTAATTTTGTTAACAATTTTGTCTTGTCCAGGGATAGTCAAATAGGAGCCTAGAGAGTCTTCATTTGAGACTTCTCATTTCAGAAAATTCTCTAACTCTATAGTGAGGAAGGATTTACAATTTATAGCAGGCAGAGTGCACCTCTTTCTGACGTATTTACTTAATACTGGTGCATTCCTCCTAGGGAATGCCTTTCCCCCCTCTTACGATGGTTTTATGTAATTTAAATAAAAGTACAAAGTAGCATGGTCCTTGTCTAAATTATACAAAAATTAGAGCTAAGTGGTCTGCAAATGATAGCATACATGGGGACATAAGCCTCTAATTAAGGCACCAAGAAAAGAAAAAGATTTTTAATTAAGCAAAGCATTAATGAGACTTTTACACATATCTAGCAATGCTGAAATGGATACACAGTTATTAGTGAATTTAGTGGTGGTCTGCTACATACAAGCATTTGTTATATGTATGGAAGTAATCTTTCTATGATTATTACCATAGATTAACATAATCAAAATGCCTTGAAACCCTCATAACAAAATATAGTCTTCGTTTATACAGTAAGGGATGCTGGTATAAGGTTTTTGAGCAATGGTTTTATTCAGGAAAAAGTATGATATGTAATGCATATGTAAGGAGCTCTGGTGGTGCAGTCCCTAAGGCATTTGACTACTAACCAGAAGGTTGGCAGTTCCAACGCACCAGCCACTCCATGGAAGGAAGATGGGGCAATCTACTTCTGTAAAAACTCATTGCCTTGGAAACCCAATGGGTTCACTATGAGTCAGAATGGTAGCAGTGAGTTTGATTTGTTTTTGGTAATGCATACGCAGCTATTATTTTCATACATAGTAATTATTTATGAGAGCACTTCTTTAAAATATAATTTACCATAAGCAGATAGCAGATTTACCTTGAGCTCTAGTTGGGGAAAAGACCCTTAAACTCTGAATTTTAAAAGGTTCATGAGTATCCACATCAATGTGCCATGACATTAAAATGCTTCTTATTTCCATTTAATCTCCTTCATATATAGGCTGATAACATATAGTAAATAGGTTTTCCCTGCTATGCTTATACTAGTCCCATAGGAGACTACTGCAGCATTCTGTCTGAAATTAGTAATTTCAGCCTAATCTACACTGATGATTATGGAGATGAAACAAAAATAACATTCCATTTTACATTTAAAGAAATGACCAGCCGGTCAACTATCCAGGTTAATAATATTCCTCTGTAAGGAAAAGCTTCCCAGCATGACTAATTTCCTCATGCAGCTAACTAGAAAAATTAGCATATCCCTATTGATTATATATATTTGGAGTTGGTTAGAAAATCTTTGTACTTCACAGAAAATAATGAGTGTTTCTTGCAGATATTCTGGAAGGACCCAGCAATCCTTATTACTGGACTGTGAAAGTCTGCACAGAAGAGAGAGAGAAAGCTTTCCCAATTACTTTAGCATTAGGAAGTATTTAGAAAGTAAAAATGAAATTGTACAAAAAAACATAAGATCTTTTTTTTTTTTGATACTTCTGTACAGTAAAGATATACCCTAAGCTGTCAGAACCATATTAAATGGGACATAGTTAAATTCAGTGCCTCTGATAAGGGGCTCTGCCAGGCTATCAAGGTTTGAGATCAGCTGGATTGAATTTCTGGCATATTGCACATTTCCACACGTCTGTTCTCTCTCTTTCCTTTCAGTGACACTACAAGGGCACCCTTAGATATGCTTATCATTTGTGGTTTTATAATGCAGGGGCCATCTACATTTTCAAAGAGGGAATGATATCAAGGAAGTCAGGTGCAAAAATGGGGGGAAACAAAACCACAACAAACTTTTGCAAACAACATATTCTGTGTATCATTTCAAGGGGTTTGAAAAATGACCTTATAGCTCTTTGGATCAAGATATATTTGAATAAAAAACATTTAAATGTGTATTTGTCTCAAACTAAAGATGTTCATGATATTCTAAGGAACCTAAACATCAGAAACTAATTATAAGTAATAATTAATATCTAGTCATTAATAATGGCCGTCATGATTGCTTTTAAAATATCCTATATTCTCTAACCCTTCCAGAAAAAAGTACAATTACCTCATATTTCAAGTTTTCCCTCAGAAAATGGTAACATGTACTATATTTCATTCTCTCTTTTATTAGAGTGCAAAAAGAAATGGATATAGTAATTCTGTAAGGAGAGGACTTTTTGGTTTAGTGTTTGAAAACTCACTAAAAGGAAAAATGAACATCCCCAGATCAATTGTTCAAGTATAATAATTATTTAAGGAGAGTAAGTGTAATTGAAGGTATTTTAAACAAAAATATTATTTGAAACAAGTATACCCTGGGGGATTGTAAAGATGCTCCCTCCACTTTTTTTTTTTTTTTTTTTTTTAAGAAAATTCACCTCTTAAGTTCTGGCCTAATAATTAAAAGGCTAAATGACAGGAAACCAAGTTTCCCAGAGAATTTTAAGTTGTAACACCTTCTGTCTAGCACAGGATGAATTGGTATATACAACATGCATAAAAATGAATGTTCAAGGCAGAGCATCAAAACAGCCAATATTCTCTTAAATCGTTTCACCTCTTATTTTTATAATCATGGTCATTCTTTTTTAGTTGTTGATAATGTTGGAAATTATCATCAAGTTTCCAGCACAAGGACATACTTTTAATATGACAGTGGTAGCATCATTTGCCTGCACTGCACTATGATTACACCACAGTTCTGAAAATAGAGCTGAAAAGGAGTATTACTGGTGAGGGTCATGCTCGTTCCCAATCTACCTGCCATCTGCATACCGAGGTTCTCACCAGGCATTAGTTCTTTCTTTCTCTTTGACATTTTCTTTCCCCACATATTTCAATTATCAAAGGACAGAATGAACCCAATCAGCCCATCTCATAACATATCAATTATAATCAGGATGGTAGAACACTTACCAAGGAGTCTTTTGGTATTTCCATATCACCTTTGGTTTTGATGTTTTTCTTGTGATTTTGTTGAGTGCTGACAGAGCTGCCAGTAACACAGGAGCCCTGGGAACTGCCCTTTAACACACTCCTGTAGGAAACATTATTTGATCCACTTTCTGTCTGTTGAGCTGCTTTCTTATCAACTCTGCAGGTAGAAAGTGATTCCTCTGATAAATTACATTGCTTTTCTTCAATCACTCTACTTTTCCCAATTCTTTAATGTTTACAGTAACCTCCATGTATCTCTTTGTCTCAGACCTTTGAGTGATAAGCGTTTCTTATTTGCCTTCATCAAATTTTCACTTGATAATTCAGCTAGTCTATCAACTTAGATTTGATAATCTAATACTTTATGTTTATGATTGTGAGGGGGAAAAAAATAAAAACTACTGAAGAGTGATGACTAAATACATTTTTGGCTTAATATCAGCAGGAAATGTAATTACCTCTGGAAAGTTTCTAAGTATACATTTGCTTGGTACAATCAATAAGATCGACATAGTTTAAAACGTATGTGTAATTTTCTTCCATTTCATGCCATGTGGATGCATTCATGGTTCCTAGTATAGGTTGAATTTCTATCAACCTTGATAAAACTTTCCATTCTTTAATTTCAGAGATCATTGGTTTGGTTAACAAAGTAACATGGACTAAATTATTATTTTATTGCTAACTTTTATTTCACTGTTTAAATTCTGGCTAATGTATAAAAGACTGCTACTCTGCATTTCTCCTTATATGAAAAATATACTTGCCTGGCATTTAATGTAGGAGCTCTTTAATGTGCATTTAACTCTGTTTAATGGGGGCAGGGGTCCCCTCTACATTACCAGCCGCTTCTCAAATGAGTTACCTGTTCAGAAGTTCTGTCATAAAAGTATCTTTTGTTGAACACGAAACAGGGCTGGGTCTATTTCTCGGTTCAAATTTCATTTGGTTGTAAATGTCTTGGGTTGTTTTCAGATTTTGTTTGCTTTGTAAACTACCATCTGGACTATCCACTGACTCAGTTTCTCTGTTGAGCTCATTTTCCATCTCACACTGTAGTAGTTCGGGCTTCTTTTTCTCTTTCTTTTTCTCTGATTTTAGCTGTTTGTTTCCAAACACCAAACCTTTTGCATCTTTCTTTTCCACTTTGGTTTTGGAGATATCCATTTTCCTGCTACTCAGAGCTGGAAGCCTACTCCTCCGAAAACCAAACCAGCTGGCAAAAGAAGGCCCAGGCTTCTGCTTGGCTTCCACAGAGGTGGACTTTGTTTGTACTTGGCCCTTTTCCACATTCTCCTGAATGCACAACATGACCTTTTCTTCAATGGTGGGTGAGAGGGGGGCTTCTGGGTTCACTACATCACGCCTGGTTGTAGAGACATCTGGATGCCTTCCAGAAGTTTCTAGCTGCAGTGTTGTCCTGCTTGTTTCAAAACTACTCAGACACTGCGTCTTTCCTGGGCTCTGCAGGATTCGTGGGTAGTCTGTTGGGGTGGACGGGCACCTGTGATGGTTGTTGCCTGATTCATCAGGCATAGCCACAATGGCGCATCCTCCCTGGGTGTAGGCCTGTTGGTCTTCTGTTCCAGTTGGGGTGAGGAGCCCTTCAGGTTCTGGAGGGATCCTCAGAGGCAATTTGCTTGGGCTACCATGCTGGCTGCTAGAGCTGCCTGTGCTCCCCAGAGAGCCTTGCCTGGAGGAGGGAGACCCCTTCGGAAGACTCTCAGGGGCTGGAGCAAAAGGTGGCTTGCTGGGCAAGCCCTCTACAAAGGAGTTCTGCCGGATAAGAGAGTTGCCTCTCTCAGCAGTGTTGGTGATGATCTGAGTTCGGACTTTGCAGGGCCCTTCCATAGGAGGAGTGGAAGGCTTGTCTCCTGGGTGGGTGCTGAAACTCTGGCTGCGGGCTTTGGCTCCGTTCATGCCTAGAGCTGGTTTTAGGTGTGGTTTGCTGGAGGAAAGGGGTCTTTTCACAGATTTGTTTTCCATCTCATCTCTTCCATCAGCTGCAGGGATGCAGTTTTCAAATGACTCTGGCAGTGCTGTTTCCAGAGAAAGCCCTTCAGCTAAATTGTCTTTTGATTGTAAACCCAGAGAAGTCACATTTTTTTCATTCTCTGTGGTCTGTTGTTTGTTTGTTGGATTCCTGTCTTCTTGCCTAGACTTACTCGCCACGGAACTTTTAGAGGCTTCATTTAGAGTGTCTTTTTCATGTTTCCCTGGCACTGTTGAACTTTTCCTGAGCAACTGGGGAGACTTTAGGAGAACTTTGAGTCCCACTGGGAGACGAGTTTTCAGTCCTTTTTCATGAGCATTAGAACAACCATGTATGGCACTATGGCTTTTGTAGGATGACGATGATGAAGGACTGTTAACCTGAGAGGGTGGTGACTCATTTACCCCTGAAAAGGGAGACTTGGGTGATGTGGGGACACTATCATTCAATTGTCCTTTTCTTGCTGGGGATTCACTTTTGGAGGACAAGGTTTCCAGTGGCTCATGGGTTGAAGGACAATTCTTAGGAGTCCATAACCTAGTGTCCGTTTGTGTGGTCCCAAGTGTATGGTGAGGAGAAGTTTTGGGGTTACCTTTCTTTAGAGAGACTTTTAAAGGTCCTGGAGCCATCACTGCAAATGAGCTGGATAGGCGATGACCAGGACATCTAGTTTGAATCACTGTGTCTGATGAAGGAGGAGGGTTTGTAAAGACAGGCTTTTGGAAGGCCACAGAAGTTTTCTTCCCCTGAACTTCTGTGACGACCTGATTAGAAGAACTAACAGGAATGGAAGATCCTTTCAGAGGGGGCGATTTGAATATTGTCTTTGATGTTTCACTGGGGACCCTGATTTCAGGCTTGGCAGAGGAAAGTTGTGATGAATAGTCATAACTGGGCCTGATCAGTAGTGACAATGACCTGCCTGGAGGGGGTGGAGGTGACTTCACCCCTGCTTCTGGCTCTGAGTCACAGTGTTCACCCTTTGTGGGGGATTCTCCATTGACACTAGACTCAATGAGGGGCCTTGACAACAACCTGGACCCTGGAATCTGACTTTTGGAACACTGGGCCCAATCCCTTCTGCTGGGCATTTTTGAGCTGTGAGGACGTTGGGTGAGGTGTTTCGGAATGTGTGAATCTGACCATAAATCAAAGCCGTGTGTTGGGCTCTCAGTCTTCCTGAACTGTGAGAGTTTCCCTGGAGTGAAGGCTGATGATTTTTCAAGAGCCACTGGGTCAGCTGAGGAGACTACTGTGGAGGCCCCAGGCTCCATTATTTTTGATTTCTGAGATGAAGACTTCCCTCTGGCAGGTATTTTTGTCAGATTTTGCTTTTGATAGAAACTTATGGATACTGAAGACTTAGAATTACTGTGGCATGACATATTGTGTGTTGGTTTGGTCAGCTTTTGTTGTTGAGAATTATTTGGTGTTACTGTCCTGGTGCTGAAAGATTCTGTGGGTGCCAAGGGAATATTATCTATATTATCTTCTGGAATATTTTTCTCAGTTTCCTCTTCAGATCTGTTTAAGAAACTATAGTCTCTCGCATCAGCTCCTGGCTGCAAGTGAGCAATTCCCTGAGGTAAAAGTTCAGTGTGTTCAGCTGTGGGTCCAGAAGAGGCCTGGCTGATGGAAATTTCATTTGCAGTCACAGTGACAACTCCAGCTTGATGAGAGCTGAATTCAATGGGCTCGCCATCTTCTGCATCAAATATTACAGTCATACATTCTTCTGAGGAAGTTCTTTTTACCACTCTTTGCTGCTTGATGAAACTAAATGTCTTTGGCCTATTCTCTAAGTGGATGGGTACTTGCTTTTCCTTCTCATCCGGAGACCCAAGTTGAGACTTTCTGAGTCCAAGGAAGATGTCCAGGTTCTCCATGGACTTATCAGTATCAGCAGTCAGAGACAAATCTGAAGTGCTTTTCTCATCACTGCTCTCGATGTGCAACTCATCAAAAGTCTCATTGTCATCAGTGTCTGAGAGTGGGAGGCTGAGAGCTAGGCAGCCCTGGCTGTGCTGATCTCTCACCCTCTGTAATGGAGGCACCTGAACCCTTCGGCACAGCTTCCCCTCCAAGGGATAGTTGTTGACACAACTGCTCAGCTTCTCAGGACTTTCCCTGGGATAAACTGCAGCACTGCCTTCAAAAAAGTGTTTTCCATTCAACTCCCAGGCTAATAGACTATCAGAAACACTCTGGGTTAATTTACTACCATGCAACCTGCAGCTCTGGTTTGGAAGTGCTCGGAGCAATGCCAAGGAGGAAGAGTCTTCATCGGCATCATCATGGGAATCTGTATCATAAACAAATGCCTTGTGACGCTCCTTCCAGGGACCCCTCCTATCAGTTGGCTTGCAGAGGGGGTACTCATTAAGGCTGCTACACTTAATTCCTGGAGAATATATTCCTTCATTTGAGTTCATGCAATCTTTATAACCCCATTTGGATATCACTGAAGGGGATTCAAATAACACTTTCTGCTTCTGTAGCTTCCTTAGTCCTTCCAAAATGTGGCTTTCCTTGAGACGAGTTGGAGGTAGTTCATCTGTTGTACTAGCAAAGCCACTTGGGAGCGACGAACCAATACTTAGCCTTTTATCCCAGTTTTGTGATGACTGCTAGGGGAAAAAAAAAAGTAGATTTTAGAAAAGATTGAACCATGTGGATTGATCACAAATACAGAAAAGGAAAAGTATATACCTAGACATATTTTATTCTAGTGGTTGCTATGTATTCACATATAAATGTATATATTAGATAATTAATTATCTCACATGGTGTAGTGAACATTTACTTTGGAAGTTCCTGTACTACTTAGAAGTAACCTTATAGAAGATAAGAGTCTTGCCCTCAAGGAGCAGGCAAGCCAGCAGGGAAGAGGAGACTTGGGCACAAACAAATATAAATCAAAGGAGCTAATAAGAAATGCAAATGAAGTAGGTACTCTGGAAATTCTGAGGAGGGAAACCACACATCTGTTTACAAAAATCAGGAAAGGCATATAAGAAAGATTTTTGTTGTTGTTCTTGGTTTCTCTTTTTCTTTCTTTTTTTTTTTAAACTATCTAGTCCTTGAAAGAAACTATCTAGACCTTGAAATGACTAGATAGTTGAAAAAACAAAACAAAAAAATGAACAATATCATGCTTGGTAAAGTGGAGGGTCAACAAAAAAGGGGAAGTCCCTCAATGAAATGGATTGATACAGTGGCTGCAACAATGGGCTCAGTTAAAGCAAGGATTGTGAGCCTGGTACAGGACTGGGCAGTGTTTTGTTCTGTTGTACATGGGGTCACTATGAGTTGGAGCTGACTCAATGGCTCCTAAAAAAACAACAACAACAGTCTTTGAAAAGTGGATAGGTTCAAAAGTGGATAGGAAGTTATTTTACAGTAGAAGAAATGTGATGGATAAGGCCCTAGCGCTGGGAAAGTATGTTCAAGGTACACCTAGAGAATATCCAGAAAATCCCTATGGCCTCTCTGTAGAGTCCATATGGGAGGTAGAGAGAATATGGCTTGCAATGTGAGTTGGTCATTCCATTTTTTTATGGTCCATTCTATTGTAATATTTGACAGTTCTATTCTGCGATGTCACAATTTGCTTGTGACAATGTGTAGGCCATGAATATCAATGAAAGTTATCTGAAGTTACTATACACCCATACTTACATACATAAAGCAACTGAGTATTTGTTACTAAAACTATAAAATCAAATCAAACTCACTGCCATTGAGTCGATTCCAACTCAAAGCAACCCCCACTGGGTTTCCAAGGTGGTAAATCATTACAGAAGTAGATTCCCCCATTTTCCTTCTGTGGAGTGGCTGGTGGGTTTGAACTGCTAATCTTCTGGTTAACAGGCAAATGCACCACCAGTGCTCCTTTAGAACTCTATAGTAATTATTAACCTTCTAACCTAGAAAGGTCTTTTCCCTGTCTTTCATACTTTTCAAATCCCAACCTCAGTTTCAGAAAAGTGTGCAGGAAATGACATAGGGAAATAATTGAATTCTACACAGATATTTCATATATTTCCTCACTTTAGCTAGCAAAGAAACAAAAGGGCAAAGGAGGAAACTAACATTTACTGAGCATCTACTTTGTACAAGCCACTTACAGAATGAAGTAACTTAAATTTTCAGGCACCTGTAAGGGAAACATTATCATTCCCATATACTATGGAGGAAACTGAAATTCAAGATTAGTCTCTCTGAAATCACAAAGTTAGAGTGGCAATGAGGAGTTGGACTCCAGCTTCCCTGGCTCTTCCTATGATACTCTGCTGCTTCTGAGTTGGCTCAAATGTGGCCAGGCAGAGATTTGAACCTATGCAGTCTAGCTCTAGAGCCAGTACTCCTACTCAGGATACTAAACTATTACAGTCAGGTTTGCTTCTCTCCTCTCTATTAATCAGTGTCATAGATTACCCTTGCACCCCCCTCTTGACTGGAACTTGTACAGTTTAATAACAAACCAGCACCCAGGGAAATTAGTGGGGTGTAGGGCTGACCTAGTTACTTTCATAAAAGGCCATATGCTTAATATGAAAGACTTCAATGGATGAATCTGATGGCTTCAGATGTGCTAACTTTACCAACCTTGGCTCACATTGGCATTTCCACACTAGCATGCACCCTCTTCCCCTAGAACTCTGCACACCCATCATACACTCGTATCCAGAGCAATGCATGCTGAATGAAGTTGAAAAAGTGTCAGACACTTCCTTTGGAATGTGGCTTTTAGTAAGCTGTGAACATTTGCTTACATCTAAGACATTTTCATCAAAATTACACTTGTTATCAACAACATGTATATGTTTATTATTTTATTTTAGTCAAATAATGTTTTCTTTAGAAAACATCCCAGTGTCAGAAGATGTTGGGGGTAGATGCTGTGTGGTGATGTTTCTCCTCCTCCTCCCCCTTTTCCCCTGCACCATTGAAAACTCCTTCAGAATAGGAAGAGATCCCATTAATGAGTCTGGGTATTATAGACCAACCCATGATTAGGGGCCACAGCTTCAGATTTTAAGAAAATCCATGATCGTGATAGTCAAGTTCACAATAAAGGAGAGAAGCCAGACAAAACTACACAAGCTTGGAAAAGGCAGATTTGTTCAACCCACAGGAGAAGTGCTCAGCCTCTGCCACCCACCTTGTTGCTGCCTCTCCAGGGTCTGCCAACACTGTGGTTTAGTTCATCCCAGAGCCAATGGCTAAAAGCCCTTAGGGCCTTGCTTCACAGCCCTGTGAGATTAGCCATAGTTCTCAGTCTTTTCCTCAGGAGATCATGGTACTTTAAAAACTTTAGAAAAGTTTGGGCTAATCTTGAAACTTAAAAAGAAAAACAAATAAATAAAATGTATGAAGCCGCTGTGAGAGAGGTGTGTGTTGGGAAGGAGCTGGTGTTTCTTATGGGTAGCTTCATCCTTTACTGGTAAAAAGTTGGAATAGAGTGGATCTACGGGATAGTACAACTGGTTGAAAGATGCTACTGATCAGAGAGGGCCTTGGTTTCAATGCCCACAAAAAAAAACACCAAGCCAGTTGCAACTGAGTTGATTCCAACTCATGGCGACCCATGTATGTTAATGTAGTGGGGTGCTCCATAGGGTTTTCAGTGGATGACTTTTCAGAAGTAGATTGCCAGGCTTTTCTTCCTAGGTGCCTCTAGGTGAATTCCAATCACCAACCTTTCAGTTAGTAGCTAAGTGCTTTACCATTGTGCCACTCAGGAAAACAAAACCAAACTCACTGCCATCGAGTCAAATCCGACTCACAGTGACCCCTCCTTGGGTTTCTGAGGTGGTATCTCTTTGGAAGTAGATTGCTTAATCTTCCGAGGAGTGGCTAGTGGGTTTGAACTGTCAGCCTTCTAGTTAGCAATCAAATGCCTTAGGCACTATGCCACCAGAGCTCCCAAAAACTCCTTTAATGCATATAGTCCTTTTCTATGTCTTGTCTGGATAATAAACTTTTTAAAGAAAGACCTTTCTCGGCTTTAATGGAAACAAAGGGCAAATTGATCCCAACAATGGAGACAAATCCTCCAAGCCTTAGGTTCATTTGATAAACCCAGAACAGCAGAATGGTTGTATGAATGCTTTGAAATCCAGTGTTCAGCTCTGCCACTTACTGGCTGTGAGGTCTTGGGCCAGTTATTTAACTTGTCAATGCCTCAGTTCTCATCTGTAAAATGGGGGATTAGGATAAACTACTTAAGGCTGTTGTGAGCAATAAATGAATGTATGTTTATAAAGTACTGGAGGCTGTGTTCCACGTAGTGATTACTCATTAATTAGAGCCCAGTTTTTCAATGTAGGGCAGGTTAGTGCACTTCATGCAGGCTTCTTTCCTATTTCTACACAAATGATATTTTAAAAATACTTGTGAACTAAAAGAGAACCATTAGTCATATATTTATGATATAAATTAATACTGTATTCATATTCAAATTCACATGATGTGAATTATGATGGAAGTTAATACTACACAGGTATCTGGGACACAGTAAGAACTGTAGAAGTGCTCCTCAAATAGCATAAATTAAAAATGTCTTTTGGAGGCTAGATTCACACAGGTCCTTGGACACAATCAAGTTTGCTAGCTCCTTGAGAATCAGGAGTTTTCACTGTGCAATGTGCCAGGTGTACCTGGTGCTCCATGACCATTCTGAAAGACAGCCCTATTAAATCTCCACAGGAGGACATCTGAGCATGTGTGAATGCCTTAAGAACCTCTCTTTCTGCCTTCAGTGCAGACGTTTCCTTAGACTATTAGGAACTGTTCTAATTGGAAGAATTTCAGCCAAAAAAGAGATAAGGAGAGGGAGATGGAGAGAGAGGAAGTGTAAGAGTGAAGAGAGCAAAGCAAAGGGCTCTGGGAGCGAGTGATAATAAGAGACAAAGAGAAGAAACATCCCTGATCATCTCCCCAGGTAGGAGCTAGGCCCCTTGTGGTCATTATTCAGAGCTCCAGACAACTCCTTAGAGGGAACAATTTTGATAATGCGTCAGTCTCCGCATTTTCCATTAGAAGTTTGGGTCCAAGGCAATAAGCTCAAAATTCAAGCTGGAAATCTTTTTCTGAGTCCTTTTCAAGGTTATTCCCTCACCAACATTTTTTAGGAGGTAGGGAATTTTTCTGTTTCTATAATTCTGTTCTTGCTTACTTTGTTTTCCTCCAATATTAGAAAATTACTAAAACAGTGTGCAAACATGACTGTTCAGAGAACAGAGGGCTCTTCAGCTGTGTAAGTCCACTTTGCAGATGAGAATCATCTAGCAGTAGCAGTTTTTTAAAAACCTGGTAAAGAAAGGAACATTTGGAATACTGGCGGAGCTTTGCCCATCTTTAAGGAGCTCTGGTGGCATAGTGCCTAAGGCACTTGACTGCTAACCAGAAGGTTGGTGGTTCAAACCCACCAGCCACTCCACAGAAGGAAGACTGGGCAATCTAATTCCGTAAAGATTTACTGCCTTGGAAACCCAAAGAGGGTCACTATGAGTCTGAATCAACTCGATAACAGTGAGTTTGGTTTGGTTTTTGGATGCCCGTCTTTACTGAAGCAATGTTTCCTGTCTTTTACCATGGAACTTTCTCTCTCTCTCTCTCTCTCTACTATGTTTCCCTCCAATTTATAATTAGAGTTTTATGAAGCCATAATATTGAATAGAAGGAGTTCTGGTGGTACAGTGGTTAAGGGATTTGGCTGCTAACCAAAAGGTCAGCAGTTCAAACCCAGCAGATGGTCTGTAGGAGAAACATGTGGCAGTCTGCTTCTGTAAAGATTTGCAGCCTTGGAAACCCTATGCGGCAGTTTTACTATGTCCTGTAGGGTGACAATGACTTGGAATGAACTTGATGGCAGTGGGTTTGGTTTTTAGTATCGAGTTGTTGTTGTTATTGTTGTTTGCCGTGGAGTCGGCCACGACTCATAGCGACCCCTCCTTGGGTTTCCGAGGCAGTATCACTACGGAAGTAGGATTGCCCAACCTTCCTTCTGTAGAGGAGGTCAATATAATGTATACCATTCTTGAGAAGTAAATTCTATAAAACAAATGGCCCAGAAACTTTGGGCCATTTTACTGGGATAATCCACCATCTTTCTCATTCTCTGAAAGAAAACATTCCTTTAGAATTTTCATAGGGTTCTTGGTTTGGAATAGATTGTTGAATGGGCTTGTTTAGTATTTACAGAAGCTATTAGTAAGTCTTTGACTATTATAGCAAAGGACAATGTCTGCAAAAATAATTGGAAATGTCTGAGGTGGTCTGAAGGGTGGTTAGTTCCATTAGGACACAGGTCCATGTTCCAGTTTGAGAAAAACTATGATCTTGGTGACCTCCATCAAAGCACAGAAGGGAAATGTTCTTCTCCCAAACTCCCTCCCAAGATGGCAGGGATGTTTAGTCAAATCATCATTCTACTCCTTTATTTGTTTGGCAAACTCTGGCAAGTAATAGCCTTTTTGAACCTATTTCTTTTTCTGTGTAATGGGGAGAATAATATTTCCATTCATGATTTTTGTGAAGAATAAATGAGTACATACTCAGCAAATGGTTGTTTCCTCCTTACCCTTCCTTCCGTGACCAAACCCTACTAGAAAATGATTCTTTTCTAATTCACTGTGATGCTCAAGTGCCTTGAGAGGTGGCCTTACCCTTTTCCTGGGGGTCTTCCCATCATGCCATGTGTAGGAGGAGCCACTGGAGTACTCACTGCAGGTGCTTGACAGAGACAGGTCACTGCTGCTGCAGCTGTTTCGAGGACAGAGGTGACTAGGGACGGTGACCCCCAAGCCAGGGCACTTCAAGGTGAGGGTTCCTGATTTTGCATTCAGCTGGTGCTCCTGAAAAAGCAGGGCAGCTCTGACCAAGGGCTTTGCTTAGGAAAGAATGAATATCAACTCAACTTCACACCATGGGGGAAGGGAACCTATTTATCATAATGGTTAGAAGCATAGACTTTGGAGTCAGACAGACTATCAGTTGAATTCTTGGCTCTGCCTCTTACTTTTTGGCTATGGGGAAATCATTTAACTTCTTAGACCCATATTTTCCTTTTTAAAAGGACTAATGATAATATCACCACCTTAGAGGTTATTGTAAGGACAAAATGAGCTTCCAGAAGTACATAGGACAATGTCTGGCCTATATTAGGTGCTCAATTATTACAAACTACCATTATAATCTGAAAGGTTAGATGTTCAAGTCTATTCACAGGCACCTCAAAGAAAGGCCTACTGATCCACTTCTGAAAAAAATCAGCCACTGAAAACCCTATAATGCATAGTTCTACTCTAACATACATGGGGTCACCATGAGTTGGAGTCAACTCAATGGCAACTGCTATTTTTTTGTTTTGTTTTCCTTACCATTATTATCAGGCAAAAGTTTCTCTATGGTGATTTCTCATTTTCTCCATCATACTGATGGAAGAATCAGATCAATATCAAAACATGATTTTAATGCTACAAAAAGAAAATAGAATAAATCTCTACATTAAGCATCTTTGACTATGAGGTTCATGACCATGAGCATGAGCTAAGGAGTCTAGTGGCCTGGATCTCAGCCTACCCACTGTCATTAGCTATGAGACCTTGAACAAAAAACTCCTTTAACTTCCATGGATTTTTAGCATCTTCATTTGTAGGGTGAAGTGCTTTGTCAGGTGCTTGACAGAGACAGGTACAAAATTACACCTATTGTTCCATTGGTTCTAACAGCATTATTCTCATCAATATCAACTCAATGGCAGTGGGATACACAGCAACAGCAATGAAAACAGCATACTGGTGTAACAGTAGACATATGACCAAAGGAACAGATTGAAAAATCCAGAAATAAACCCACACATATATAGTCAACTGATTTTTGACAACAGTACTAAGACCATTTGATGAGGAAAGAAGAGTCTCTTCAATAAATAGTGCTGAGAAAATTGGATTTCCACATACAGGAAAGTTAAATAGCATCCCTGTCTCATACCATATACGAAAACAAATTCAAAATAGATTAAAAAGTTAACTGTGCAAACTAAAACCATAAAATTCTTAGAACAACAAGTAGGGGCAATGCTTCAGGCCTAGCTTCCAACAATGGATTATCTAACGTAATCAAAGCACAAACAGCAAAAGACAAGTAAATAAATGGGACTTCATAAAAATTGTGAAAAGGTAACTACTAGCAAAATATCTTCAGAAACTGACAAGAATCTAATAATCAAAATGTATACAAAATTTTGATAAATTAACAACAAAAAGACAAATAATTCAATCATAAATTATACAAAGGAGTTGAATAGATGTTTCATCAAGGAGAACATTCAAATGGCCACCAAACATATGAGACGATGCTCAGTGTCATTAGGTATCAAAGAGATGCAAATCAAAACCACAATAAGATACCATTTCACTCCTACTAGGATAAACCAAAAAAACAAACCCACTGCTGTAGAGTCATATCTGACTCATAGCAGCCGCTCCTTGGGTTTCTGAGGCAGTATCACTATGGAAGTAGATTGCCTAACCTTCCTTCTGAGGAATGACTGGTGGGTTTGAACAACCAGCCTCCTGGTTATGGCTAAGCTTAAAAAACAAAACAAAATGAAAAACAGAAAATAACAAATGTTGGTGAGGATATGGAGAAAATGAAACCCTTACGCATGGATGGTGAGAATGCAAAATGGTACAGCTGCTAAGGAAAATAGTGTCTGTTTCCTCAAAAAAGTAAAAACTACTACCATTTGACCCAGAAATTCCACCTCCAGGTATATAATCAAAAAACTTGAAAACAGAGACTGAAAAAGAGACTTCAATAATGTCCCTTGCAGCACTATTCACAATACCCAAAAGATGGAAACAACTTCCATGCTCATCAACAGACAAATGGATAAACAACATGTGGTACAGATATCCAATGGAATACCACTCAGCTAGAAAGAGAAATAAAATCTTGGTACTGTTACAAAAGATATGGGACTTCAGGACATTATGCTAAGTGAAATAAGTCAATCACAAAAGACAAAAATTGTATGACCTCACTTATATAAAAAGATAAGAAAAGGCAAATGTGTAGAGAATAGTTTTTTAGTGGTTACCGGGGTAGGAGGGAGAGGGAAGCGGGGATTAACAGAACAAAGTACTTGCTGAGGCTGCTTATGTACAACCAAAAACTTCATGGGATTTGGTATCTTGTTTTGGAGGTTTAGGGGACATCCCAGTTAATCTGTCCCGGTTTCATGGAACATCCCAGTTAATCTGTTCTACTCTTTGTTGTTATGTAGTGATTAGGGTCTTAAAAGCTTGTAATCACCCATCCAGGACACAACAATGTCTCAATTGTCATCTGGAGCAACAGAGGAAGAAGAAGAATCAGGAATAAAGGGAGGATATGTAATATGTGGCTAATTGTCTCCACAAACAACTGCTTCCTTTGCCATGAGAACAGTGGCACTAAATAGTGCTCAACTACCATTACTGAACATTTTGATCAAAGATTCTGTACAAAAATCTTGATCAAATCGGGTGAGTAGGAGTGTAGAACAGAGTTTCAAATTCTATGGACTGAAGACTTTCTGAAACCATGAAGGCTAGATGAATCCTTGAAACTACTGCCTGAGATAATCTTTAAACCTGAAACCAAAAATATCCCCTGAAGCCTTCTCAAAACCAAATAAAAGCTTAGCTTAACTAGTACAAAATGGCTACCTTGAGCATTATGCTCTTATAATAATTATCTGGGTTCAAAGTGACAACAGGAACTGAAAAGATTAGATAGGAAACAGTGAGTTTATGTAATGTGGAGGAACAACTTAGAAAAGGAGGGTGAGAACAGTCACACAAATCAAAGAATGTAATCAGTGTTACTAAGTGGTACATATACAAGTGGTTAAATTGGTTTGTGTTTTGCTGTGTATATTTTCAACAACAATAAAATTAAAAAAAAAAAAAAAAAAAATCACAGTAGTTCTGGGCCCCATGCAGAAAGAACAGAGTGTTAGCATTCTAGTAGTGGGTCTGCATAAGGCAAGAGTGACAAATTTGTAAACATCCAAGTACATCTTGACAGCCACATTACAGTCCCCTAAGGTACCAGATGAAGCTCCAGGAACTAGACAAGGTAAATTAATTTAGAATTCCAACCACACCATCCACTGAAAATGGAATCTCTCCATTACTGTCTAATTCCTATCTGCTATCTATATAAAGCTTTGTCTTAGAAACTCTTTGATGGGAAGTCATCTGTCTTCATATCACTTACAGAATGGCAAAGCCTCCTACTTATGCAATTTATTGACACTTTATGGGTACCTTTAGTACTGAGTACTTATCACTGTTCTCCAAATGCAATTCCAACTGATAGGTGGCTAAGCACAAGCTTGGAGAAGGAAGGTAATGATGATCAGAGAGTACTTGTGGTAAAATATTAAACCCCTATGTGAGTACATAGGGCATGTTTAATTTGTCCTCTAATCAATATCCATAATGCTTAATAATGTTAGATTTTCAATGCTCATCATCTGCATTGCTATCAATACTTCATCTGTGCTCCATAACAGTCTCTTTAAGTGATCTAAAAATGCCAAGAAATTTTACTACTCTATTTTTTCCCCTGAAAGCTGGCTTTAAATATCATTGAAAGGAGAAACTTGCCTTGAAATTCAGCTTTTAGCAGTATCTATCTATTGATTTATGACTTTTTTTATCGCCAGATGTAACTTAGTTAAGGAGAGTGCATATTTGTATGTCAAAAGATGCCTACAACTAATGGTTCTGTACACAGAAACACCTGACATTTAAGCTTTAGTCATTGTTAAAATTTAGAATATGCACCAGAACAAACCTTCAGAAATATCACATTATGCTCCATTTCTACTCTTGTGTTTTACACTTTCTCTGCTCCCTTCTCTTGGTTTAAATATACTTTGTTTTTTGAGTATGTTGGGTGGTGCCTGGCATTCAGGACGATCTTCACCTTTGACAGATACCCCTACCATCCAAATGTTTATGTTCTGAAGGCTGTTCAGCTACAAGCCTTTCTGATGATCCTTCTTCTACTCCATATGGCTTTCATTTACAGTTACATTCTACCTTCTTCCAAGGCACTGAAGTTTATACGTGGTTCCCCCTGCCTTTCCTACCATCCTTTTCACTGTTGTTAGTTGCTATTAAGTTGACAGAACAAATGTTGCCCAGTTCTACATCATCCTCACAATTACAAGATGTTTGAGTCTGTTATTGTGGCTCTTGTGCAAGTTTATCTCATTGAGGGTCTTTGCTCACCCTCGCTGGCCCTCTACTTCACCAAATATGACTGATCCCTCCTGATGATGTGTCCAAAGCAAGCGAGTCAGATAATGTCTTGTTGTGGTCCATAAGGTTTTTCTTGCCTAATTTTTGGAATCAGATTTCTAGACCTTTCTTCCTAGTCTGTCTTAGTCTGGAAGCTCCACTGAAACCTGTCCACCATGTGTGAATTTGCTGGTATTTGAAGTACTAGGACACAGTTCTCAGCATCATAGCAACATGCAAGCCACCATAGCATGAACAACTGACAGACAGGTGGTGGATCCTTTTCATTATATCCATTAAAATTATGTTCATGTTTACAACTCAACTCAAATTCCCAGGTCTTTTTTGACCAATAAGCATCCTTTCTCAGGCATGGTTCATGTGAGTATCTCTGGTATACATGTTGGATTAAGAAAATAGGAAATTAAAACTTAAAAAGTGGCTGGATGGAGAAAGAATTGCAGCCCTCCCCCTTGAACTTGAGATGTGATGGTAGGTGCTTAGGGGAGGTAGGCAAGGCCTGTCAATTCCATGGGTAAGCAGGGGGCTAAGCAGGGAGTTGTTCTCTAAGACAGGACTTTTTACCCTGTAATGTACACATGAATCACCAGGGGATCTTATTAAAGTCAGATTCTGATTCAGTGATTCTGAGTGGTATGGGATCTGAGACGGAATATTTTGAACAATTTCCCAGATGCAGCAATTCTGCTAGTCTGCAACCTATGCTTTGAGAATCAAGCCTCTAGGAGAAGATATGAGAGGTCTCATTCACCCATGGGTTACTTGGTAGCATGACATGTCACCTCATAGTCTGACTTGGGCTGGGCTTTGGGGGACATGGGGAATGGTCTGAGTGGACACCCATGGACCTGTATGTTAGGGCAGGAGTATATAGTGAGATGACTGGAAAGAAATTCCTTGCCAACAGAAAGGCCCATTCCTCCCTACTGGGGAGGATTCCCTATTTTCCCTTCATTGGACAATCAAGCTGGAATTCCATAAGGACTCCAGTCCTCTAGAGTCATAGAGGCAAACTGAGCTCTTCTTCATTGCAGTTTCCTTCATCAGCACATGCTCCACACAAGGGATTATCTACTCTAGTGAATAACTGTTTTATGGTTGAGTGCTTGAACTCTGAGGCTATTTATTATGTTTAAATCTTGGCTTTTCTACTTGCTAGCTCTTTGATCTTGGGCAAACACTTAACCCTCTGGGCCTTAGTTTCTTTTTTTTGTACATGGGGACCAACAAGCATCCTAACAATGAATGGAAAAAATATTGAAGTTGTCAAGGATTTCATTTTATTTGGATCCACAATAAACACCCATGGAAGCAGCAGTCAAGAAATCAAATGCTATGTACTGCTTTGGGCAAATGTGCTGTAAAAGATCCCTTCAAAGTGTTAAAAAGAAAAGACGTTGCTTGAAGGATTAAGGTGTGCCTGACCTAAGCCATGGTAGTTTCAATCACCTCTTATGCATGCAAAAGGTGGATAATGAATAAGGCAGGCCAAAGGAGAATTGATGCCTTTGAATTATGGTGTTGCCAAAGAATACTGAATATACCACAGGCTGGCAGAAGAATGGTGAGACTTTACCTCATGTACTTTGGACATGATTTTAGGAAGGACTGGTCCCTGGAGAAGGACAGACTAGAGGTTCATCAAAAAAGAGGAAGACTCTGAATGCGATGGATTGACATATGGCTACAATGACAGGTTCAGGCATAGCAAGGACTGTGCAGATGGTGCAGGATCAGGCAGTGTTTTATTCTGTTGTACATAGTATTGCTATGAGTCAGAGCCAACTTGACAGCAACTAACAACAACAATGGCATAAAATTGTTATGAAGACTGGATGGTTACTGGAATATGGTAATGCTCTGTAAGATTTAGGTGATGGTATTATTAATTTCTATTTAATACTGGTATCTAGTCTCTTCAACTAAATCATAAATGTAGAGTATCCCTAAGGGACCCTATTTTTTATTTCTTGTTACCCTCTCATTATCTGGTGCTGTGCACAAAGGTGGAAAATAACTGTGTTGAGCAATAGCCAAAAGTGGGAACGTGTTATTTGTGTCTTAAAAAGACACTCTAGCGGATACATTTCTCAGTCATCATTTTATATGTCTGCTGTGTTTTCTGTGGCTGCAGCATGATGCCACATATTCAGGAAGAACAGAAGAGGGCTAAAGAAGCACAGATCCTATTATTGCTCCAATATTATTGGAAGTTCTGTGCTTAGGGCATTTCATGTACTGACTCATTTAATGCTCACCACAAGTCTGTGAACTAGAAAAGAACTAGCAATATTCTTATTTTTCAAATGGGGAAACTGATGCACTGAGATACTAATAACTTGCCTAAGGTCACATAGCCAATACAACATTCTGATGCCAGGCCCATGTCCTAGCCATTACGCTCTAATGTCTACTAAGGCCCTGCAACAAACAGAAATCTCAGACATAGAACAGAACAACACACATCCTACTGAACACAAGTGCCATTAATAATAGAGAATGGTTATTATTAAACTCGGGAGCTCTGGTAGCATAGTGGCTAAGGCACTTGACTGCTAACCAGAAGGCTGGCGGTTCAAACCCACCAGCCACTCCTCGGAAGGAAGGTTGGGCAATCCTACTTCCGTAGTGATACTGCCTCGGAAACCCAAGGAGGGGTCGCTATGAGTCAGGGCTGACTCGACGGCACATAACAACAACAACAACAACATTCATTAAAAATGTATATTGACTATAATTGAAACATGATCTTAATTATGTTGATCTAACTAGAAAGTAAATAATGTTTAATGTTCCTAGAATCTCTATTCAAAGTGTATTTTTCTCCTTGTGTATTATAGATTATAAAGTAATCTTAATACTTTAAGCACACTTAAAGTAAACAATGCTTTAACATTCTTATTGTGAGAAATGCAGTACAAAACCCACAATTTTAGTTAAAAAGAGAGGGAGAGAATGAGCAAAGAGTTTCTTGGATAAAAAGTGTGCACTTAAAAAATCCTGACCTTTAGGCCATATTATGGATTGAATGCTATTAGGGTCTTTATGAATATTTAAAGTGAAAGCATTCCACTAAAATTTAATTCCAAATGAATATGAGAATATTTGCCTTTGACAAAGAATATCCTATCTACAGTGACAAAATTATACAGTAAAATAAAAGATTAGTTATCTGCAAATGTTCATCTTTTTTTAAGCCTATCATTTTTCATTATATATTTATTTGGCTCCTGTGTTTTTCAAGTTACTTCTTTTTTTTAATGTCAATGAGAGTGAAAAGCCATGCTAGGTAAAGTTCTGCAAAATAAGCACAAAGTTAACCCTAGCTAAAGAAAAAAAAAAAAACAAAAAAACACCACAGAGCCCATGAATTTTTTAAAGTTCATACATAATATATCATAAAAGTAGGATGAGTAATATGGTACGTGGGCTTTAATAAAAAGCTCCTTGACCATTTCTCAGAGACTATGAGATATAATCAATATCCAAAAAGGTATCTTGGGGACAAAGCCAAGATTTATGATATTTTTACCAAGAGTGACACTTTCTGCTTACTATATCAGCTGTGGGACATGATATTGAATTTCAGAGAACACAAGAAAGGAAAGTATTTTTATCTGCCTGACAATGCTTCAAGGATGCACTTTATGGTTCACTTGTGACATCATACTTGATGGAAGGAAAATAACATCCTAAACAAGTGTTCTGCAGGCAACAGGCAAACTCACATGAATCTCAACATCAGTTCGTGACTGCGTCAAACTTCGGCTTCTTTCCAGCTCTGAAAGCAAATCTCCAGATGAAAGATCTAGGATGCGTGAGTGAAGTTTCTAAAAAAAAAACAAGCAGAAATATTTAATTGCAATGATTTTATTGTTTGTTTCAAAATCTTGGTTTGGACAGGTAACTAATAAAGGAAAAAAGTGATTAGATCATCCATCCATACATATATGTTTATATACATAAATCAAACTCACTGCTATTGAGTCTATTCTGACCCATAGCAACCCTACAGGACAGAGAAGAAATGCCCAATAGAGATTTCAAGGATTGTAATCCTTACAGAAACAGACTGCCTCTTCTTTCTTCCATGGAGCAGCTAGTGGGTTTGAACTGCAGACCTTTTGGTTAGCTGCCTATTGTTTTAACCAGTACACCACCAGGGCTACATGACCCAATTGAAAAAGTTAATTCCAGCTTCTCAGTGATATTAAGCAGTTGCTGTGGAGTTGGTTTGGACTCATGACAACCTCATATTGTCAGAGTAGAACAGTGCTTCGTTCGCTTTTCAATGGCTGATTTTTTGAAAGTAGAGTACTAAGTCTTTCTTCTGAAGCATCTCTGGGTGGATGTGGAACCTTTAACCTTTCAGTTAGGAGTCAACCACTTTAACCATTTGAGCCATCAAGGGAACTTCAAGTTGGCCTCCGACTCATGGCAACCCTGTGGACAATGGAAAGAAACTCTGCCACCCTCATGATTGGATATGGACTGGACTACTGTGACCCACAGAGTTTTCACTGGGTGATTTTTGGCCAAGCCTTTCTTCCATCTTAGTTTGAAACCTTTGCTGAAACCCTTCACTCATCCTAGTCATAGTAACACACAGGCCTTCATTGACAAGTAAATAGTGTGGCAGCTCTTTAGGTGTATTGGTCAGTAATTGAATTCAGGTCTTCCACATTGAAGGTGAGAATTATACCAATGACCCACCAATACACACACACACACACACACATGGAAATTGCATTTAATATACAATAATCATACTTTTGGTCTGTGTTGAAAATAAGTAGTAAAATTGAAATAAGTAGTAGTTGGAAAGTAGTAGGAAAAATCTGAATACCCAAATACACTTATTGGCTAGTATGAAAATTAATTTCGATATTCACGTTAAATACAATCAGCATGTTAACCTTATAATGTTGAGCAATGATCAAAATCTGAACACATAATTATAAAAGTGACCTTATTTCTAAACAGCATTGATCTTGTGAAATCTTCCTGTGGACACATTTCAACTCAAAGACATTAATGTCATCTGTTAGGAACAATTAATGTGAACAGAAAATAATTGCATCAGGGATCTAGGGACTCGAAAGATTTTGGGCATTAATATTCACATGCTATTCGATTATATAGTCAATTCTTTATTCAGTTTTGCATGGGAGGCCTGCTAAGCCAGAGACATTTCACTATATTAATCTTTATACTAATTACTGAGGCTTTTCTGTGGACATTAAACTTGATCTGCTTAATTGCAAATACAATAAAACTCATGATTTATGTCCAATGTTTTTGCTAGGCTGATGACATTTTAAAAATGGTACTTGTAGCCTGGTTTGTCTTGGTTACAACTGTTGTGACTTCAGAAACTAAAAAATCGAACTGAGTAAGTAAATAATGTGGCTAAGCATGTCTCCCTCACCTTTGACAAATTTTCCTGCTCCTTTTCCCCCCTGGAATGGTTGTGCTGCATAATGATGTTGATCTGGGAAATGTCTAAGATCCTCTACTAGTAATGGATGTTAGGATTATCTCTGATAGGAGGAGTTGCCTCATGGGTCACAATTTCCCTGTCTTTGTCCCAGCAGACCTATCACACACTGTGAGCAAGAAACATAAACTCTACTAAAATGAGCCACATTCATCCTGCTCCTTATTTGACTTCTCTCGGGCTGGGTTGCAGAAACCCTGGTTAGTGGAGGCCCGGGGTGGTGCAAATGGTTACTGTGCTGGGCTGCTGACAGGCTAGCAATCCCAGTCCATCCAGATGTGCTTTGGAAGAAAAGCCTGGCAACCAGCCATTAAAAATCCTATGGAGCACAGTTCTACTCTGACACACATGGGGTCACTATGAGTCAGAATTAACTTGATGGCATCTGGTAATGTTTAGGCTAGCCAATATGGATAGCCTTATGGACTGTCTGAGTTGGTCAGTCATCAGGCTTTTATCTAGCACCTACTGAAAGCAGAACCCCATGATAGGACTGTAGTCTGTCCTTCTACAGAAGCAATGGTGTTTTATCTGCTGTGGGTACCCAGTGGAGCTTTACATCACTACTTGCTTCAGACCTATACTCTTTCTTCTTTCAAAGGATGTGTTTATGGAGGCATTTTCACCAAAAAAGGAACAAATCTTAAATTGGTGGCCTGTTTCTTTCACAATTCAAATTTCTCCAATAGCCCTAAGATATCAATCACCAGCTACTGTTGAGTCAACTCTGACTCACGGTGTCCCCATGTTTGTCAAAGTAGAGCTGTGTTCCATAGGGTTTTCAATGATGTTTTTAAGAAGCAGATTGCCAGGCTTTCTTCTGAGGAGCCTCTGAGTATACCTGAACTTTAAATTCATTGGTTAGCAGCGGAGTGCATGTTAACCCAGGGACGCCAAGACATCAGTAGATAATTAAAACTATGACATTGTTTCTGGAGAATTTTTATAATTCTTACTCCAAGCTGTGTCTATCTGAGTTTCCTGGGGGCAAAAACTGGGACTTTTCTCATCACTTAATCTCCTGGACCTTTCACAGTATATAGTACTCAGTAGGTACAAAATTAATGGTGGTTAAAGAATCAATAAAGAAAAAGATGGCTTTATCATTTTCTCACCCATATATAGGTTTTAAATGTTGACTGAATGCCAAAAGAATTACAACATTCTGAGATCTATGAATACATTTATCAATATGCAAGCAGTCTCAGAAGTTATGGGAAATGACATTTCAACAAAAGAAATGATGATTTTGAGTGGTATATCATGTGATTTGAGAGAAGAGTCCTCTATAGATTAGATATCTGACTTCTTACTCAGATCATGATTATACGTCACTATTTCTTCCCATCTGATGTCACCCTTTTCTCTTTCTGAATATGTGCATTTATAAACCTACCCTCATAAATGAGGTATGTTTCAGTAGTTTGTATGCAAATGGTCAATTTCCTGCATTCAAATAAATACAGTCAGCATGATAGAGCACCAGGTGCTGGGGCAAGGGGCCAGGAGCCCTGAGTTCCAGCTATAAGGAATGTGATTGAACTTCTGAACCATCTCAGCTTCCTCATGCTGCAGAGCGACAGAAGTGGGTACCCAACCTATTTACAGGTAGGGAGAGACGTTGCCATAGTTGCAAGGAATAATGAATAAGATACTAACCAATCAACTAGTTGCTGTCAAGTTGATTCTGATTCATGGTGACCTCATGGTATCAGAGTAGAACTGTGCTTCGAAGGGTTTCCAAGTGGCTGATTTTCCAGAAGTAGATCACCAGGGTTTTCTTCAGAGGGACCTCTGGGTAGACTTAAACTGCCAAATTGTTGTGTAGCAGCCTAGTTCATAAGCATTTGTGCCACCCAGGGAGGGCCTCCAGTAAATAGGATAGCATGTTGAAATCCACAAAGTCTTACACCAATTTATTGTCACAATTGAGAGCTGTTAGTGGATAATTTCTTAAATGATAAGGTATAAACACATAATATGCTGTTATAATTTCCATATATGCAAGGGGATGGGGAAAACTGAAAAGTTGTTAGGTGCTGGCAAGTCAGTTCTGACTCACAACGACCCTACATAAAACAGAATGAAACACTGCTTGATCCTGTGAAATCCTCATGGTCATTGTCAACCCATCTCATCAAGGGTGATCTTATTTTTTGCTGATCCTCTACTTCACTAAGCATGATGTCCTTCTCCAGGGACTGGTCCCTCCTGATAACATGTCCAAAGTATATGAGATGAAGTCTGGCCATCCTCACCTCTAAGGAGCATTCAGGCTGTACCACCAGAAATCCTGACAGGAAAATGGGATGTAGTCAAAGCAACAGCTTCATGCATGCCACTCGTGTATCTCATGTCTCTCTTATACAAAGTGCTTGCTCTGCCAGGTGTATAATGGTACAGTACTTACATACCTATAATACATATGTCTTGATAGTCATAATAAATGCCTGTTACTGGCTTATATATGTACTGGATTGTACTTTTTTCTTAAAAGGTTACTGTATAACAGTGTGTATTTTGACTCATAGGCAGCAGCATCCAATCTCGTATATCACACATCTCTTGAGTGCTGCAGCATTAACTCTCTGTTTAATTTTCTTTTGAAAATATTACATACATTTTGGCTCCCAAACACAGCAAAACCAGTGCTAGAGAAAGCAGCAGCAAAAGGCGAAAGAAAAGTATTGATTTGGAAGTGAAACAAAAGGTTAGTACAGAGCACGAAAGTGGAAAATCCATGAATGCTATCCTTTGTGATTTAGGCATATTGTACTTGACAATCAGGATGATCCTCAAAAACAGAAAAAATTCTCCAAATGGGAAAGGATGAGCTACAATGAAAGCTGCAAAGCTAATGAAAATGAGAGAGACCAATATCAGATATGGAGAAACTGCTAAATGATGTGGATTGAGGTCCAAACACAAAAGTGAATCCCTCTCAGCATGCTGACGATCACTGTGTAGGCACAAAACTTGTCTGAGTTACTTTAAGAAAAAGCAGGACCAAATTACAATACGGTGTTTGCACAATGTCCAAATCACATAATGCCCTATTTCACAGAATATGTCATGGACATTAAGTGACACATGATTGTACACATGTATATTTTTTCTCAAAGACATATATATAGCATCCTTTCCCAAACCAATAATGGGATGTTATCTGTTTTACAAAAGGTCTCAGTGAAAGTAGTAGGACATATGCATGGGAAATTCAATTGAAATCATTGTCAGAAAGAGTATAACTGATACGAGCATGCTATGACCACCTAAGAGAAGTCCACCTGCTTAATTTGAGGGCAAATATCCCATTGCATACCTACCTATGGG